AGCCCTCCGCCCAAAGCGCCAGTCCCTGCAAAGTTTTCGCTCTTGACGACACCAACGTCTGCCAAGCCGCCGCGCCGTGAGAGCACCGGTGCGCGCCCGACCCCGACGCAGTCGCCTGCTGCGACGCCACCGACGAAGCCCAAGCGCCGCGAGTCGTTGCCACTCAAGTCGTTCCCGCCGTGTGTTGGTCGCATGTCGATGGCCGACATCCGCGCCCAACGCCAGCGGTATTTCCAACGACAAAGCGAGCTCGATGCGCTGGTGTACACTGGGGACGGCGTCAGTAGCATCGAGAGCGAAGACGAAGTAGCGGCGACCGCGCGCCTCCAGCGAACTCTGACCAAGGTACTCCACTGCAAGGATGCAAACTTGAGTTCGAAACACGGACGTAGGACGATTTCTTGCGCATGGACATTGTGGGGCAGTTCAACTTGGGATTTATCATTGCGCGTTGTGGCCGGGACCTGTACATCATTGACCAGCACGCAAGTGATGAAAAGTTCCGGTTCGAGACGCTGCAAAAGTCCACCGTACTGCACCAGCAGCCGCTGGTCCGCCCGCTGCGCTTGGAAGTGACGGCCGTCGAAGAGATGACGATCCTCGAGCACATGCCGATCTTTGAGAAGCAGGGCTTTCACTTCTCTGTCAACCACGCGGCGCCCGTGACGCAAAAGCTGCATCTCACGGCGCTGCCGTTCAGCAAGCACACGACGTTTGGCCTCGCAGGTACTACCACCACCACCGCATCGACTTGAATTTGCTATTGCTTGGCGCTAGACGTTCGGGAGCTGGCGTCGCTCTTGATGGAGGCGCCGCACCAAGCGCAGACGCTGCGCCTGCCCAAAGTCACGTCCATGTTTGCCTCGCGCGCGTGCCGGAGCGCCGTTATGATTGGGACCGCGCTGCACAAGGAAGAGATGCTCAAGGTATTCCGCCCAACGATGTTGAACGCGATCGACGAAGTGGACTAGATTGTGACGCAGCTCGCGGTGCTGGACCAGCCTTGGAACTGTCCCCACGGGTGAGTGCTTGCGCTTTTTCTAGATGGTGGCTTAGGATACGGTTACTAGGCGCCCTACAATGCGCCACTTGGTCGATCTCAACAGTCTCGAGAAGTAGTTACTCAACAGTCCCGAGAAGTAGTAGTTACTTGACTGACATGCTTATGACAGTGGAATGTTTGGGTGCATAAGCACGGACCTGGTGGTGGCATAACCACGATCATTTCGATCGACAGTTCAGAGCCAGCGACGACAACAGCTACCGATGAACCCACCCAAGGCGCACAGCGTCGAGTAGAAAGCTCTGGAGTCGTCTCGGTCGCGATACTGCCGACTCGGTCACGATACTGCCGACGCGGTCGCAAGACGTGCGCCGTCTATGCGCGGGTCTGCCCTAATGGCCCTCGCGTACTAGTACACCGTACGTGGCAGTTGGACTCGTTACCGTACGTAGCTAATGCGCGACCCGACGACGTTGTTAAGCACCTTGGTGCAGCTAGGACAGGATCGCGGCAACAACTCAGGCTTCATGGCCTGGAGATGTGTCTTGGGGAAAATACGATACGGCGTCCAAAAAAACAAAGTGTATCGTATTTTACGCTATCAAAAACACACTATCAAGTTTCCGGATACCGTCCATCTGGTCAAACGGTGCGTGTCGATGAGGCGAGAATACGCGCGCCATGCCTCTCTCGTCCTCAGAGCTCATTTATCAAGAGCGCATGAGCCAGTCACGACGCATGGAGGCCCCGATGGACCCATACTGGGACCACTTTGACGAGCATGAGCCCGGGCCCGAGGACTTTGAGTCGGTCGAGACGCGGCTCCTCGCCAAGTACGACAAGACGAGCGAAGCGTCGCCGAACGCCGCGCAGATTGACGAGCCGTTTGACGAATTGACGCTCAAGGAGCGGTCGTCGCTCGAGACGCTCACGAGCCGCCTATTTCTCATGAATCACGTGCCGCAAGACCAGTGGGTTCTGCTCGCGGACAAGAAGCGCGACGACGCTGCCGCGCACAAGGCAGCGACCGCCAACAAGTGCATTGGGATTGCGACCCTCCTCTCGTCCTTCGCGTCGGTCTCGTCGCTCGGCATTGCGTTCGACCTCGAGAAGGACGTCTCGCCCGTGCTCAAGCTCTTTTGGAAGGTCAGCGGCAGCGCCATGGTCCTCGCGCTCATCGTTCTAGTGCAATCGCTCGTCCAGCGCGGCACGTGGCTGCACATGGAACAACCGAGAGACACGGCGCGCCGGATTCTGATTTGCGCGGCGGGCTTCACGCTCTGGAACTCGTCGTTCAACTGGGCGCTCGCACACACATCGATCGCCCACGTGTACGTGCTCAACAACTGCCACTCGCTCCTTCTTGTGATCTACCGAGCGCTCTGCGGCGACGTCGTGGCGTTTGCCGAAGGTTTTGGGACGCTTGTGGGTATTGCCGGCAGCATTGTGACGGCGATGGACTCGACGGGCGCGCCGCTCGCCAACTCGGACATTGTCGGGCCGAGCCTGCTTGGCGATGCCGGCGCGTTCCTCGGCGCGATCGGAGCTGTCGTGTACCTCGTGCAGGCCAAAGTCATCAGCGAGCGCATGCCGTTCATGCTCTTTATGCTCTGCCATTCGACCGTCGTGTGTCTCCTCCTCCTCCCGACGATGTGGTGCCTTGGCGAGACCTACGAGTTCTCGCACGACGCGTCAATCGGTCTCTTCGGCTGGGCGAATTGGCAACTCGACCGGCTTCCAATTGAGTTTTACCTCGTCGCCGTCTGCGACTTTGGCGGGCGCATGGGTTTCATCCGCGTCCTCGCGTACTTTGACCCGCTCGTCGTGTCGATCACGATGCTATTGCAACCGATTTTGGCCGCGCTATTTGGCGTCGCCGCGGGTGTTGCGACTGTCCCAGGCGCCGTCACGTGCCTCGGCAGCGGCATTGTCATTGCCGGCACAATCCTCGTCGTCACGGCGGCCGGACCGCCAGCACCGCGCAAACAGCTACCACTGGCAAATCCACGACGCACCATGTATGGTACTGTGTAGAGATAGATGCTTTAGAAAAGACATCCTTAAGTATAAACCCCTTTCATGACGTGAACGTACTCGCGACGGCCCAAGGAGCCTCATAGGCGCGTTAACGTTTTAACAAGATTGGGTGCAAACCACTCTGAGTTCGCTCGAGCACAGCCTCGGACCGATGCGTCATCACGCACTCTGCTCACTTGTGAAGCTGCGATATCTGCTGGCTTGGTCCGGAGATGCACCCGACTAATTAATTCGACCAGCGGTGTCGTGGGCCATTGCCGGCTTCGTTCGTTTGCTGCGTCTACTAACCCGTCGTTCGTGTCACGCATACAAACCTCAAGACGTTTCGAGTCTCGTCCCAAATTGAACTTCAAACGAACTCGAAAGAAAGGCGCGGACGCTGGGACTTGGATCCGTCACCAGCCCCAGCCCTAGGATGACCAGTGGCTCCGAACTGCAATCCACTTTATTTATTTTATGACAGCCTTTCATTTGGTATTTGTATTGACGACAATTAAATCACGTGAAAGTGCCGATGCGTTTTCACGCTCCTCCAAGCTGTGGCCTTTCTAAGAGTAAACAGTCGGCTTTTTGTACGGTACGGTCGTACATTACAATACAAATCCAAGTCAATACGTACACGTACGTACAATCCAAACAGCCGGCTTGAGAGAGTGGGACGATGGACGTCGATACAAGGCACGGTATCCGGATGGATCGTCCGGAAACGTTTTCGAAAGGGTGACTTCCGTGGGCCCACTCCGCAATTTGCCATCGCTCTCGAAAGCCACAGGTACGACGTCAACTCTGCCTGCCCGTCGCTTGCGCGCCCATGGACGGTCCATGCTGGCGCGTAGGACGACGAGCATGGCCATGCTTCCGACGAGAACATGGTGTCTCATGCTGCGCTTCCGTGCGTAGACGACATGGCCTCCAAGAAATTTCGCTACACGCGCCATGACTTCGAGCCGCTCGAGACCAAGCCGCTCCACTTCGACATGGTCTTTGACGTGACCGAGAAGGAAGTATGTTGCTTGCTGCCTAAACCCAACAAAGCGCTCAGCATTATCTTGGCTAGGTCCGCGTCGTGCTCCAGACGACGCTCAAGTACACGGGCGCTGAGCCCAAGACGGTGCTCAAGCTCAATTCGAAGGCGCTCGAGATCACGCGCGTCGAGCGTCTCCACGCGTTCACGCCGTTGGGCGAGACGCGTGACTTTGTCTCGCACGTGGCCAGCTTTGGCTCGGCCGCGCCGCTGTCGTACACTGTCGACACGGTCGACCACTTCTTGGTCATCGAGCTCGACACGCCGGTCCAGACGGGCGACGAGTTTGTGATTCTGACCGAGTCGATTGCGCGTCCGACCGAGAACATCTTGGAGGGCCTGTACTACGACTTTACACCCGAAGGCTGCCCGCGCACGATCATCACGCAGTGCCAGCAGTACGGCTTCCAGCGCATCGTGCCGTGCATCGACACGATGGACGCCAAGGCGTACTACACGACGACGATCGTCGCCGACAAGAACTACACCAACATCATCACAAACGGCGACCTCGCGCCCGGCTTTTCGACGCCGGACGGCAAGCCCGTGTACCACGAGGCGGTCGAGGTCTTGGGCCACGAAGATGCGTCGCGCCACGCTCTTAAGTACCACAACCACACGGTCAACATGGCGCCGTACCTCTTCTTCTTGGGCGTCGGCACGTACGTGACCTACCGCCGCACGCTCGAGTTCCCGGACGGCGACACGACGCTGCTCGAGCTCCTCGCGTTCCCCCAGTCGGTCGAACCCGAGGATGCCAAGCTCTCGGTGCAGATGCTCCACGACTCGATTCTCTGGGTCATGATGAGCTTGGGCCCCGAGGCCACGGACCACTGCGAAGAGCGCAAGGCCATCTACGCGCTCCTCAACGAACGCGAAGCGCTCAAGGCCAAGGCCGCTCCCTTGTGCATTGGCACGGAGGAAGAGGCGCCGGCGCCGGTCGAGCTCTCGCCCGAGGACGCGGCGCGCTTGGCCGACGTCCGCGCCGAGCTCAAGCAGCTCCTCTCGGTCTGGACCAAGACGGGCTACAAGTACACGGGCCAGATCTACCGCGAGATCGGTATGGAGAACTCCAACTACGGTGGTATGGAGAACGTCGGCAACACCACGATCGTGAGCTCGTGCTTGTGCCCGACGTGCCGCATGGGCGACATGTCGTACGAGTACATGGAGCGCGTCAAGGTGCACGAGTACTACCACAACATCAACGGCAGCGAGGTCACGGGCCAGTCGCCGTTCGAGATCTGGCTCAACGAAGCCGTGACCGTGCACATGGAGCGCAAGCGCCACGCCGCGATCTTTGGCCAGGAGTACCACCGCCTCGGCGACGTCGCGCGCATGTTTACGCCGGCGACCGGTCCGATCGCGCTCGATAAGGCCGCGACGTGCCTCAGCGTCGAGCCCGAAGGCTTCAACCAGACGCAGGAGCTTGTGTCGGCGGTCACGTACCAGAAGGCGCCCGAGATTGTGCGCATGGTGGAGCTCATCCTCGGCTACAAGCAGTTCAACGTCGCGCTCGACAAGTACTACACCAAGTACCTCTACGGCAACGCGACGACGGCCGACTGGTTTGGCTGCATGGAAGAGGTCTCGGGCCTCGACTTGCACAACTTTTCGCGCCTCTGGCTCAAGCGCCCGGACCACCCGGAGGTCGCGTACTCGACCTTCTACGACGCCGACGCCCAGACGTACACGGTCAAGATGACGCAGACGGGCTTTGAGCGCTTCGACGGCACGGACGTGGCCGGCCCGTGGGAGGTCCCGATCGACTATGCGCTCATCACGGACGGCCAGGCCGTGCGCGAAGGCGTCTACTTGCTCAAGGAGGCGTCGGGCGAGATCGTCTTGAGCGACGTGGCGACCAAGCCCGACTACCTCTCGTTCGCGCGCGAGTGGTCGTTCTTTGGCACGATCAAGCCGCTCAACGTGTCGAGCGACTCGCTCGTCCAGCAGGCCAACACGGACCCGGATGCTGTCAACAAGTACTTTGCGTACCGCGCGGTCGCGGACGCCGAGAAGGCGCGTGTGATCGAAGCGCTCGTGCGGGGCGAGTCGGACGTGGTCATTTCGCCCGCGTTTGCCGAGCTCCACGCGTCGATCCTCTTTGCGGAGGACCTCAACCCGGCCGTGCGCGCGCTCATTCTGAACGAGAAGAACGCGATCACGTCGCGCGCTGATCTGAGCCACCACTACGACCACATTGCTACGGCGACGACCGCGCTCCTGCAGTCGATCTGGTCGGCGCACGCATCGACGATCGTTGCTAAGCTCCACGAGCTCATCAACGCGTCCGTGCCGGGCCCGCACAAGGACCAGCTCCTCCAGCGTGCCTTGAAGCGCCACTTGCTCACGCTTGTCGTCGCGGGCGCCAAGCCCCTTGTGCTGCCGACGCTCTTGCCGTCCGAAGTGGTCGTCGACACGCCTTCGCTCGCGCTCGAGATGCTCAACAAGGCGACGTTCGTCACCGACAAGGAGGCGGCGTTCCACAAGCTCATGGAGATGGAGTCGTACGAGGGCCGGGCGGCGGTCCAGGAGCGCATTGCGGCCGAGTGGTCGGCGACGCCCGAGATGCTCGAGAGCTACATTGCGTCGATCTCGTCGCTGAGCGTCTCGGACTTTGCGACGCAGGTCCGCGCGCTCATGGCGCAGCCGTACTTCAACATCAACCAGACGCACCACTCGCGCACGCTCGCGCGTGGCTTGACGCAGATCCGCGAGCGCACAGTCTTGACGCAGGAGGGCCGCGACCTCATGATCGAGGTGTTCACGCGCATCGGCAAGGTCAACCAGACGTCGGCGTACCCGATCCTCAAGTGCTTTGACCAAATCGACGCGTTCTCGGGTGAGACGCACGCGACGCTTGTCGCGACGCTCCAGGCGATGCAGGACTCGATCGACAAGGTCCACGAAGAATCGCTCTTCAACCAGCTCAACATTATGCTCAAGAAGGCGTAAGCAGTGTTTAGTCATAGCAACAACATCCTAGCCTAGTCCATACATTTCTCTTTGCTCTGTATACACTCGAGACCTCTCGCATCGCAGCTTGCACCGCGGTACTAGTAGGCAGCGCGAACATCAACGTCGCTGGAGCTCAGGCTGGAGCTCAGGTTCGTCAATCAAAACCTGCTTCGGTCTCTAATTGGCCACTTTATTGATCTTATCAGCCAATCGTGTCGCGGGCAAAGCAATGCCGCCACGCAGGCAAGGCTGTGCGACCGCAGGAACGTCATCGAAAACGAAATCGCCAAGACTTGGTCCAGTGGTATTAAACACATCAGAGGGCACGGGGCGCTACGTTTCATCGACGGCCGAAGTCTACAGCGGGAGCAGCGCGCCATTTCCTGATTATTTCTGGCAAAAGCCATAAATAGTCCAACACTGCCATATTTACCAGGTGTATATCAGGTGCAGCTATCAGGTGCATGTCAAGGGTTCCCCATATAACGCGGCATGGCGATTTGCTCGACACCAGCGCTATCAAGGTGATGCTATTTGCTGCCGAGACGTT